GAGAGAGATATTAGTGGCTTTGATTACAGTTGGGGGGGGAGAGAGAGAGAAAGAGGGAGAGAGAGAGAGAGAGAGAGAGAGAGAGAGAGAGAGAAGAGAGGGAGAGTAAGAGAGTGGAGAACATTGGTGAATGAATGAACTGGATAAAGACTGAAAAGTAAAGGAAGAAAATTAGGGTGAATTTCAAGCCTTCTGACTTCGGCAACTATAAAAAAATTACTATTAGCCTTTTAATGAAATCTGGAAGGCTGTAGGTGGATCAGGTTAAGAGAGAATTCAGAAGTCTACTTTTGGACATATTAATTTTGAGATGCTTATAAAAAACTCCCAAGAGACTGGTTGAGTAGGAACTTGGAATGAGTTTGGAGGAGGGGTAGGAGCCTGGTGAATATAACTGAGTCATCAGCATATGGAAAGCCTGGAAAGGCATGAAACCAGACAAACTCATCTCAGGAGTGGGTGTGGGCAAGACACAAAGCTTAATAACATGGCAGAACACTTTTCCAGCATTCCAAAACTTTGGATATTTACACCTAGGTATCTCACAGGTACCTTAAATTCAACATAGTCCACAGGTCAGTGCAAGCTCCGACAGCTTCCAAAACTTGCTAAGAAATCCCAGTGACAATATTCAGATCAATTAATACAATTGGTGATATTTTGAGCTCTTCTCATGTGTCTGATCTTTTGTTAAACATGTTTCATACATTAATAAAATTTCCACAATATCATCTCAAGTAAATACTACTTTTTTCTTTCTATTGTAGTTTACAGATGTGAAGGTAGAAAGCTTGAATAAATTGCCCAGGAGTTCAAATGTTTGACAGCGATCCTGGTCTTTTGAATCCAGAGGCTTATTCATAATTACCAAGTCATCTCATGTTTTGATGTTCAGGAAGGAGTCTAGAAGTTTTCCTGAACTCTCTAATTTCTGACTTGTTTTGGGACTTTGATAATCAGGTATAAGCTATGGACAATTGCCTCCGAAACATGCAAGGATGCAAAGAGTATTAACAGTTGTTATCAATTTCAAGGTTTCATAGATGTCTAAAAACCCACCCACGGACCTTGATCACTTAAAGATCAATGGTTCTCTACCAAAAGAATGTATGTGCCATCTCCTGAGTTTTCCTTCATAAGTGTCAATAAACACTGAAAAAATTGTGGAAATCTTTCAGTTTTTTGTTTATTTACTTTAAAATGTGTATGTTCCGCTGGGCATGGTAGCACGTGGCTTTAATCCCAGCACTCAGGAGGCAGAGGCAGGAGGATCTCTGTGAGGTCAAGGCCAGCCTGGACTACATAGTGAGTTCCAGGCCAGCTGGGGCTACAGGGAGACTAAGAGACCCCCTAAAAAAGTGTATATTCCTATAGGTAAATACTGTATACAGTTTGTGTGTGTGTCTATATGTGTGCATGTCTGTATAAGTGCCTGCAAGTGTACACGTGTGCTAGTGCAAGTGGAGGCCAAGGGTCAACCCTGAGCATTTTCCTCAGTTCCTCTTCACCTCATAGTTCGAGACAGGGTCTCTACTAAATAAACCCAGGGCTAACCTACTCAGCTAGACTGGCTGTCAGTGACCCCCAGGGATCCTCCTGTCTCTCCCTGGTCAGTAGTAGGATTATAGGCATGTTGTGGCTTTTTGTATGGGTGCTGGGGATTCAACTCAGGTCCTCATGCTCATGTGGCAAGGACTTTACCAACTGAGCCATCGCTTGAGTCCCTCAGTACTGTATACATTTTAATAAACTTCATTGCTTCCTCCAGTACAATCTATATTACTGTTCTGAGAACATATCTAATATTTCTTTAAGGTTAATATAAACAAGAATTACTTGTTTTCTTACTTTGCCTCTTACATAAGTAATACTTTTGTAGTACTTTGCTTTGCCTTTGTTACTATATCCTGATATATTTTTAGATATATGTAGAGAGCTTCATTAATTTTTACTGTAATAAACTCCATTATCACTTCATTGACGAACATTTGACAAACTTCTAATATTTTCTGTTAGAAACAACACTATATGACTGACAAAAGTCATTTTGTGTGTACCAGAAGGTCACATAAGTTTCCAGAAGTAGAATATCAATGTGAACATGTACATGTATAAATTTTCTAAGCCACTTCATTGAGGCAAAACTTATATTTGAAACGTCTAGAAATATAATATATATACCAGTGAGTTTGGAATTATATTTTAGGCCATAGGAATGTCTATCAAATCTATCAAAGATAAATCTTGTTTCCTTTTAAAAAATATTTATTTTTATTTTATATGTATGCACGAGTGTATTGCCTGCACGTACGTAAGTACACCTGTGTCATGAAATGCCTGTGGAGGTCAGAAGAGGGTGTTGGATTCCCCTGGAACTGGAGTTACAGACAGTTGTTAGCTACCCTGTGGGTGCTCAGAATTGAACCCAGGTCCTTTATAAGAGAAGCCAATGCTCGTAACCACTGAGTAATCTCTCCAGTCCAACTCTTGTTTCTACCATTTATTATTATTATTATTATTTATTAATTATTGCTATTACTGCTACTACTTTGTGGTGAAAACAGTTAACATAACATTTGTGCTTGTGGTAGTCAATATTGGTTGCCAATTTGACAGGATCTAGAATCACCTAGGAGACAAGTCTCCAGGCACACGTATGAGGAACTATTTCAGGTTAGCCTTGACATGTTATCAAGGATTTTCTAGATTAAATTAACTAAGATGGGAAGATTCATCATAACTGTGGGTGGCTCTATTCAGTGGCTTGGAGTCCTGGACTGCATAAGAAGAAGAAAGCTAGCTAAACATTGGAACTCATCACTTTCTGCCTCCTGACTGTGGATGCAGTGTGACCCGTCACCTCAAGCACAGTCATGCCTTTCCCACCGTGACTGATTGTATCCCCCAAACTGTAGCCAAAACAAAGTTTTTTCCCCTTTACTTGCTTCTGTCAGGGTGTTTTTTTTTTTTAATCACAGAAACAAGAAAAAGTAACTAATACAATGCTCTTTGCATAGTACAGACTTGTCAGTTACAGGCACTATGCTGAATAGTGTCCAGAAGGTATTTACCCTGCAGAGCTGAAACTTATTATCCTTAATCATCTTCTCATTTTCCCTTCCCCCAGCATCATTCCACTATGCACTTGTGTGACTCAGGCTATTTTATATTCTACATGAAAATGAAAGTGTTTACCTTTCTGTGTCTTATTTTACTTAATTTGTATCCTCCAGGTCTATCCATACCCATGTTGTTGCAAGTGAAATAATTTCTTTCATATTTTTATCCACTAATCTGTCAAGTGCATTCTATGCAGGTTGAAAAGCTATGTGATCACTAGCAACACAAGAAAGCCTGCTCGCTATAGCTTCCCCTGGAGCTAACATGCTACACTTTGAATGCTTAGATTCAAGCAGGTGAGAAATCTTGTTTCAGTGCAGTCCAAGTTTGTATTTTATGAAAATGTTAGGTATTCAGTTTTCTTTATGGATGTGATGTTGAGTAAATTGATCAGGCTCCAAGGGATGGACCCAAACAGAAGGATGTTTGGGGGCATAAGTTAGACTCAATAGGCCTTTAAAAAAGTAATAGAGAACTTAATTTGCATACACAAGAGAGAACATGAAATTGAGGGGAGGGGTAGTAGGGGGGTACAGCTTGGGAGGGGGTCTGAATATGATCAAGGTATATTATATGAAATTCTAAAAAATTCAGTAAAAATATGAAAAAAAAATGCTAAGTATTTTTTGCTTACTTAGAGTTACTTTTATTTTTATTTCCTGAGTTTTTTGGTCCCCTTTTATCAACTGGTTTTGGCTCCATTGGAGACATATAAGTCTATGAATAAAAGAGTAAAATAACCCCAAAACACAGTAGTTTATTACGAGGCATTACCCAAGTCGTTCTTTCTTTCCCTTTTCTTATCTATTACTTTGTCTATGTATGTATGTATGTATGTATGTATGTATGTATGTATCTATCTATC